GTGCAGGTTAAGCTAAGAATATAATAGATGAAAGTAAAGTGATACTTAGCTGTGTTCTTGGAAATTACTGTGCTTTTATTCTAACCCGAAAAGATGGAACTTTGAAAGGATTTTAGAGTATTGTCTTCAACAATTTCTGTGATTTTTGCTCAAGTTGTGTTATTGTTTTTGATTTATGAGGTAACAGAGTTATCTTGGGGTGAAGGAGTAGACCTTAAATTGTAGGAAATTGTCAAAAGAGTTAAATATCCCTGAGAATGGGCGAAGATTTAGCTGAGAATATAGTAGATCGAATTGAAGTGTCTGTTTAAGTGATACCTAGCTAGTTGGATACTTGGATTAAACTGGTTAGCTATATTCTTGAAAAGTACCCTTCTTTAACATGTATTGTGATGTCAATGCTTTTTTTGTTGCTTGAAAAAAGGTGGAAACTTGGGATGTATTTACAGTATTCTCTTTCCACTGTTTGACAATTTTTGCTGAAGTTCTTTATGATACCCGATTCAAGAAAAAGTTGTCTTTATAGTTTAACTCATGGGGATAGGGAACTAGCTCACAATTAACAATGTTAGCTCAAGTTGATGTTTTGACTAAGTTACAATGATAAGGACACTCAACGGATTTCCTTTATTCATCATATATTCTTACTAAATATGTAGGGAGGAGTTGGTGAAGGAGTGTCTACAGGAGGGGACCAAGTTAGTGCAAGCTATTGCAGATGCTCTCTTCAACTTACCTTCAACAGAAAGCCCTGATGGTCCTCTTGTCCAGTTGCCTCAACCAACTACGAGATTGCCTAGAGAGAAGCCTGTAAGACCTCATTTCTATTTTTTGCACAAGAATTGTGTTTTTCTTATCAGTTCCAAGAGGAGTGGTAGAGCATGTATTTGCAACAATAAACTCATTTTTCTGCGCATTCATGGTATTTGAAACAACTGATCTGTTTTCTATCGTGGCTCATTCCGAATTGCGTTTAAGTCATTGTTCTGTAAGGAAGAATGTTACTTTAATCTTAATTTGATCAAATTAATGAAAGAAACTTTTCCACGGAAACAGAAGAATAACTTGCAATTATTTTGCTCCTCTTCATTATGTCTCGTAGAGGGCGTACATATAATACAGTGTAAGGATCTGATTTTCCAATGAGGTCTTTGTTTGTTAACCCCTTTGCCTGAACAAGTTCTCTGTTTCTGATAAAGAATAGTCGAATCTCATTATTTCTTTTGAGAATTGTGTGACTCTAGCTTCAATTGTGAATTGGATCTGATATACAGCATAATCTATGATAATACAATTTACTACAGTGAGCACAGGGGCAAAGTGTTTACGAAGATTTTTACCTTCATATTTGAGAAGTTGTGTGGTCGTGATCGAAATAATGTGGCAAGAAATTATTTTGCCAATTCTCCTGATGACTTTAAAACTTCATTTGTTTCTTCCCTAAATTATAGTACAATGGTCGATGTAGTAACATTTATAATATATTCTGATCCTAAGTTTGTTGATTTCATTTTTTTTTTAAGGAATTTCTTTCTGTGGTCCTGTTATTAAAGTTTTTTTATATAGAATGCTTAGATGCCTCCCTTCCTCCCGCCCCTATATTCTAGATATGCATAGTGGAAAAGAGATCTTCTTTACTGTGGTCTTATCTGTTAAATCTGTCTGCTCCTTTTAGTGCTAATTATGATTTGATTGTTTCAGCTTCCAAGGCCTAAACCTCCAACAAAATGGGAAGTGTTTGCCAAGAAGAAAGGTACCATGTTAATAGTGTATGGGTTTTAGAATATAGATAATTCTTGATTTAAATGACCTTCATTGTGTTCTTAATTTTTGGTAAAATTTTCTTTCAGGTATTCAAAAACGTAAGAAAGACAAGGTGGTGTTTGATGACCAAACTGGTTCATGGAAGCGCAGACATGGCTACGATCGTGTAAATGATGACAAAGATGTGCCAATCATTGATGCCAAGGCAACTGATGGTTAGTGTGGGGATTTTTTAATTCTCGACTCCTGCAATATTCAATTTTCTTATGTCTCAAGCTCTCAACTGTAAGGATTTTGAATGATAGGATTCAAAGGGTCATAAGATCCTAAAATAAATGTATGTCTTGACGTCGAAGTTCAGTATTTCAGTTCTTAATGGATAGTGATTATGATTATACTCTCTTATATCAATCAAGTCCTCATGATGATAACTAGTGGAAAGAAACTTATACTTTGTCCATGAAGGGAAGAACATATCTGCATTAGCATTTTGTCATTGTTCTGAATGTCATCTCCCTGTTTTTTTTTCAGAGCCTGGTCAAGATCCTTTTGCTAAGAGACAAGAAGAAAAGAAGAAAAGAGTAGAAAAACAAGAGAAAAACCGATATAGTAACTTGAAGGAAGCTGCAAAAGCTGGTGCCTTGCCAAGGTCTTGTTCTTCTAAACTTCTCATGTTTTTCTGCCATAACGTTTTTAGTTCTTTGATAATTCCTGCCATCTATGAGGGATTTATTAGTTTTTTTGCTCATGTATCAAATCCATTTTAAAAAAATCCAGTTTAGACTAGTTGTTGAATTGTTGCATTGGTTAGCAGATCTCATTCAGGAAAACCATCAAGCCTTGTTTGTATCAGTTGCTAAATACCGCCTTGAAGTTTGCATCTACCTTTTTCTTATCTGTTGCATCCTTCTGTCTGATGTCGTTTGTCTTGATAAGCACGGTGGTTAAAATTCTTACTCTCCCAAAGAGAGAACCTCCTTGTACTTATTCTAAGTGCTTACAAATCCTTAACATATTTGTTGTTTTGCAATTTGTTTAATGTTTTCTCAAATATATTGGATGCAACAGTGACTAAGTTTATCATCATTCCCGAAGGAGAGGATTTTTCATGACTTTTAAGTTATAAGTCACAGAGCTTTAAGCCTCTGCATGAAATTATTATCTCTTACACAAGTCAATGGTGGAGAAAAACGTAGATCCTGTTGAAAGTTCTTTAATTTAGCGCAAAAGTATGTCTAGTCACCTAATCTTTTCTAATCGATTCCAGCAAATCTTAGTATTTGTTTTGTGAGTTGATCCAAAGAGAATCAAAACAACATTAGTGAATGAATCAAAACAAACGCAAGTTTTCTTGTTTGTGAGTTCCTTTGCGGCTGATTTGGCGATGCCCTCTTTCTGTTTCTTTGCCCTCGACTTCTTAAAATTCCTCACTCTGGTGTATTAGCGTACTTTAGTTGGCCACGCCAGTGAAATACGTGTGCCTCATACTTCATTTCTTGCTTTGCAGTCACGTTCAGCTTGCTGCCACAGCACTGCCTATAACAGGATCACAAGCTGCACCAAGGAAAATTAGCAAGGATGAACTCGGAAATGTTGCTGGAATGGCAGCCAATGCAACAGCTAGTGGCGGAAAATTTGACAAGAAGTTGCCTGGTGAAAAGCCCCCAAAACATGACAAGAAGTATCGAAAGGTTTGTTCTCTACAAAAACTACATACATAACTTTCCTTAGTTCTGACCTCGATTGTACAATTCTAAGTCCACGTCCCTCCTATCCACAACCAGTTCCTACCAGTTGCGGAAGGATCAGGAATGGGATCCTTAGAGAGACAACAAACCGAGAAGGTCCTAAACAAATTCATGGCCAAGAACTCCCACGAGATACTCAACGTGCAAAAGGTATAACACATGCATATGTACTCATCTCTTATCATTTCATCCTCCGAGATTTCTACGTGCTAATTAGTTCAAATTTTTCACCTTAATACTGTAGGCTATAAACATGTACAATGTGAAAAAAGATAAGAAAGGAAGAAGCCAAGGAGGGAAGTCATCGTCAACCGATAACAAATTGAAGGCAAGGAAGTCACCTTACAAGAAATCATCAACAAAAGGACCTTCAAATAAAGGAAAATCTAAGTGAATTTCATATTCCAAATTGTAGTAGTATACATGGTAGTCAACCCCCCCCCCCTCCCCCTATCTTTATGTTTTGTTTGTTTAATTTTGTGTTGCAATGGAACTGTGAAAGAGATTCTTGAAAAAGGACAGAAATAGTATTTTTCATGTATGGAGTAAAGTAAAATACCCTTTAATTGATTTAATGGAAGGATAACTAGCAAGGTTTTCATATAGTTTCTAAATTATATCTTAGTTTACTACACTCTGAATAGAAATTACTTGCTCCTTAAGTAACAGTAAACGATATTAAATCAAATAATGTCATATAAATTAACACGAAAGAAAGTATTTTCTTTTTTTAACCAAACATTATCTGATCCCAGTGCTTAATAAGACTGTCCTTACCCATTGTTTTGGGCTTTTGGCTTTTTGAAAGTGCCTTTTTATCCTAAGACTCCCAAAACCATTCATATATTGCATTATCTAAAGTCCAAACTATGGATCCAACTAATCTGTCTGTGTATTTGATACGATGAAAGTCATTTATAATATAAAAATTAGACTTATTTAGTTCTTTATGTAAATTTAGATATAGAATTTACTATGTGTGTTTTCATTTGTCAATTATACAGTCAGATACGTATAACAAAAGAAAATACTAACATTTTTTATGCGATTTATTTAGCTACTTCGTAGTAGAATCAGAACACATATTAAAAAATAATCAAATTTCGAATCGAAAGTATATAATTAGAAATATTTAACTTTATTAAAAATATAATCGAAAGAAATTTAGTTTAAATATTTAAATAAAATATTCTGACAAATTTAAGAATCGATGATACGTTCAGCTTTTTTAAAAAAACCATAGATTCATGTACCAACGAACAAAAATCTAATGAACCGACCACAGCAAGAACTTGGATAGTCTACAAATACACTAATTTATAGTACTACCAAAACTTAAAATATAATAATATAAAAAACTTTATTCTAAAAGTAACAATATATTAATAATATAAAGAACTTTATTCTAAAAACATGTCACTTGAGACATTGGAAATTAGACAAAACCATCAAACATTTGTCTAAAATGCCTATAAATAAACTTTCATTCTTCACTTCACTCACAAAATCATCAATTTCTTGATAAATTAAGAAGCATTATCATATTATTATTATTATTATTTGTATAATTTTTGTTTATACAAAATTAAAATGGCCAAGAATGTGAGTTTAGCTTCAATGGATCAAAAACTAGCTATGGCTAAGCGTTACTCTTATGGTACTTTCCACTTTATTGCTTGTACCTCAACAAAAAAAATAATTATTATTTTTTTAATTATAAGATTAATTTTATTTTTTAAAATGATTGTAAATGCAGAAGGAGTAGTAGCAGGAGCAAAAGCAGCTGTTGTTGCATCTGTTGCTACTGCCATTCCAACAGTAAGATTTACACTCTATATATAAACCTATTTCGAGCGTAGTAAGTAATCGAGTGTTGATGGTTATAATTTTTTTTTATGGAAAATGGTACCCTAGATCGAAGATTAGGGTAGTAAATAGTCAAGCGTTTTTTTATTAGGTTAGTAAATAGTCGAGCGGCTTTTTATTAGGTTAGTAAATAGTCAAGCGTTTTTTTATTAGGTTAGTAAATAGTCGAGCGGCTTTTTATTAGGGTAGTACACATATTTCAATTCCTCTTGTTAGCGTTACTGTTATTACTCTCCTGTAATCTTATTTTTTGATTTTATTATTATATGCTTTTTTTATTCGGTTATTATGGCATACACTAATAGAAATTAAGATTTTTCTTATCGTGAATATATTAATGAAATTTTACAGAGTCGTCTTTGTTAGGGAACACTTTATCCTTTGACTTGTCGATGCGCATTCGAATTTAATCAGGTTCCAATGTGAGTAACCAAACACCGAGTGGGGAACTAAAAAAATGGAATTTTTTCTTGTAATAGAATGTTGATTGTTTTTAATTCTATTCCCACTGAACCACCTCACTAGGAAAATGCATGATGAAAAATAGATTTTTCGTTGAAATATAGAGAATAACAACTAAATATTTTCTCCTTTCTCGCTAATTCAATCAAATATAATAATTGGAAAATAGGGATTTTTTACTAGCTAGTGATATTATTTGTTGTTGCTACTGTTCCCTCTTATCTCCTTTATTTTAATATTACATTGTTACTACTATATTTCCTCTCATTTTTGTTTTTGGTATGCTTTATTTGAGATAAGAACCTGTCTTTCGAAAACAGTTTCACAAGATAGAAAGAAGATTGTATATGCACTAATACCCTCTCTATCCCCCACCGATATATTAGGATACGTTGTTATTATTGTTGAAAAATATTTACCAAACACTAGAAAATAAATTATTATTTTTCGAATATTTTTCGTCGTACCGAACATATAAGGTCTCAAATGTTTATGAAATATACAGTTTGCTATTGGGAAGATGTCACCATGGGCAAGAACCTATCTGAATCCAACAGCTAAAGCTCTAATCATCTCAACAGTTGCTGGGATGGCATATTTTGTTGTAGCTGACAAAACTATTCTCAAAACAGCAAGGCAAAACTCTTTCAAATAGGCCTAATTAAGGCTCACAAATAAATTAATTTAAGTATTTTAGAGTATGTCTAATATATTAACATTACCTAATTTCTATTTAGGTATTGAATGATTGTTATGTATTGTTTTATAATTGTATTATTTTGTTATATTATATCATACTATTGTCTTAGTAAATACAATATATGAATAAATTTTATTGTTCTTTGTTGTTACGTAATATTACGCATTCATAATTTGATGATAAACGTGCAAGGAAATTAGGACACAAGGTGGGGGGCTAATGTGATAAAGTGGGGTAAAGGATTAAATACAATTATATTAAATAACGAGTAAACACAAAATTAGTGGGGGCAAAGGATAAAATACAATTATATATTATTAAATAACGAGTAAAGATAAAATTAGAAAAAATTATTAAGACAACGACGCAATCACATAAATTCGACTGTTACAAAAAATGGGTCGTTTGGTTATTACCTAATAGTAAATTTACACAATAAAATTTAAGTAACAATCAAAACAAACATTGAATTTGAACTAATAATATAATACAACGGGTATAATAAATATTTATAAGGAACAATAAATAAATAATAATTCCTTGAATATAATAAATTTTAACTCTTTGAAAAATGACTAATTATTTACAAAGGTAAATTAAAATCTAAGTGATAAATTATGTTACAATTTTTTGGAAAAAATGCACAAGTACCCCCTAGACTATGACCGAAATTTCAGAGACACCTTAACTATACTAAGGTCCTATTACCCTCCTGAACTTAATATTTTTGAAATTTTGTGCACCTTTTGTCTTATATAATACACTCTGTGACTCCACGCAATTAAGGCACGTGGGAGATATTTAGATACTACGTAAGCCAAAAAGGCGCACAAAAGTACAAAAATAATAAGTTTAGGAAGGTAATAAGATCTTAGTTTAGTTTAAATGTGTTTCGAAGATTTCGATCATAGACTAAGGAATACTTGTGCATTTTTTCCTAATTTTTCAACTTACTATACAAGTAAAAGCAAATATTTATTTTTAATATATATAATAGACAAATAAGTCGGAGAGTATTCACAGATTGGCTTGAGCCTAATTATGTGGATGGACCCCACAATATTTTTCAATTAAGTAAAACCACTAAATCATCATCATTATAAATAGGAATTGAGTCATCATGCTTCATTGTATTAGTAAGTTGGAAAAACTTGAATTTGCAACTTCCACAATATTGTCAATTTTTAATATGCATTATACTTTTGTCTATACAAAGTTTTTGTAACTCCTTGTGAAAAATGGAGTTGTGCACACAAACCGTTGCAGCGGATCATGAAGTTATAATTACACGTCGCTCTGGTAGTCATCATCCTACTTTATGGGGTGACCATTTTCTTGCCTATGCTGATCTTCGGGTAAATAAATATTTTTTATACTATCAATATAAAAAAAAAGAAAAGAGAATCATATGATGACTAATGTATTAATTTCCAAGTAGGGAGCCAATGAAGGGGAAGAGAAGCAAAATGAAGACCTAAAAGAAGAAGTGAGAAAGATGCTAGTGATGGCTCCTTCAAAGTCTTTGGAAAAACTTGAACTCATCAACACAATCCAATGTCTTGGTTTAGGTTATCATTTTCAAAGTGAGATTGATGAATCATTGAGTTACATGTACACTCATTATGAAGAATATTCGATTGGTGATCTTCATGCTATTGCTCTATGCTTTCGATTACTTAGGCAACAAGGTTATTATGTCTCATGTGGTAAGTATCATTCAATTTTTTTTAAAAAAAAACAACAATTTTTTTTCTTTCAAGTTGAGTTCTTGATTGAGTTCTCGAGTCGTAGGAAGTTCATGATATCGGGTCGAGGTCAGGAGTAGGAAGTCGGGTCTTGGGACTCAGGACCTGACATCAACTCTTGATCTTGGTCGGTGCCTGACTCCTGATCCACGACCCCAACCTAAGACTTGAGTCTTAGCCCCTTATTTAGACTCGGGGATCAAACCCAAGACCTGACTCCTACCTCGACCTAAGACCTGATCCTAACCCACACTCGAAATTTGCATCCTTGCTAAAGGGTGGGGATTCAGGTTCGGTATCATAGTATTTGTTCAAATTATATACCTAAATGTTTGTGGGATAAGCAGATGCATTTAAGAAGTTCACTAATGACCAAGGAAATTTCAAGGAAGAATTGGTTAAGGATGTAGAAGGAATGTTGAGCTTATATGAGGCAGCACAATTCAGAGTACATGGAGAACAAATTCTTGATGAAGCACTAAATTTCACCATTGCTCAATTGAAACAAATTTTGCCTAAATTGAGCAACTCCCAACTTGCACAACAAATCACAAATGCACTCAAGTATCCAATTAAAGATGGCATTGTGAGGGTAGAAACAAGAAAATACATATCATTTTACCAACAAAATCAAAATCACAATGAAGTCTTACTAAACTTTGCCAAATTAGACTTCAACATCTTGCAAACATTGCATAAAAAGGAGCTATCTGATATGACAAGGTATATCTTAACCTTTGGTGAAAAGTTAAAATACTTACTTGAGGAGTCTTTATACTATGTTCCCACTTCAAATTTATACAAGTGGATATCTTCTGAAGTTGTCTCGAATTCTCAAACAAACACATTAACCATGCGGACGTTCTATTACACCTAAACAATTTTGAAGTAATATAAATAAAGTGATGTAATAATATCACTTCAAGATTGTTTTGAGGGCAATAGGACGTTTGCATAATTAAGGTCATGTCTTTTTGAAAATCCAGAACAACTTATTCAGATGTCACTCTATGTCTTCTCTCTTTAAGTAAATATTCTTTTCTTTTATATATCAATTAAGCGCGCCTACTGACGAAACACATGTACAATTTTTGTAGGTGGTGGAAAAAGATGGAACTAGTGAACACATTACCTTATGCAAGAGACAGATTGGTAGAGTGTTACTTTTGGTGTTTAGGCACCTATTTTGAGCCTCAGTATAGCGTCGCAAGGAAAATGTTGACAAAAATTTCATTCTATATTTCAATTATTGATGACACATATGATATTTATGGGAAACTAGATGAACTTACTCTATTCACTCAGGCAATTGAAAGGTAATAAATTTTTTTTGTTATGTTTTTATATAGGGAAAATGCACAAGTACCCCATCAATCTATGCTCGAAATTCTAGAGACACACTTATACTATACTAAGGTCCTATTACCCCTGAATTTATATTATAAGTAATTTTCTACCCCTTTTCAGCCTACGTGGTACTAGCTTGAAAGAAAAAGTCAATCAGCGCTGGACCCAGAAGATAGTGTCACATAGGCTTTAAAGGGGTAGAAAATTATTAATAAAATAAGTTAAGAGGGTAATAAGACCTTAGTGTAGTATAAGTGTGTCTCTGAGATTTCGATCATAGATTGAGGGGATACTTATGCATTATCCCTTTTATATATATATATTGATAGCTCACAACATTTTTATAATTGTTCTTATGTAGGTGGAATATTGATGCTTCAGAACAGTTACCATTATATATGAAGATTATTTACCGTGATCTTTTAGATGTTTATGATGAAATTGAGAAAGAGTTGGCAAATGAAAACAAGTCATTTTTAGTCAATTATTCCATAAATGAGGTACTTAATTTTATTAAAGGAGTAGCAAATAACATATACTACAAAAATTAATTATCAATAATAATCATTAAGATTTGACAAAAAAAAAACATTAAATTTAGTTAGAGATAAGGAGACAAATCAAATAAACCATGCACGTGAGTCTCACAAGTTACATTTTGCTCAAAAGTAAACATTTTTACATTATAGAATAACCAAAAGTTAGAGACTACCAAAAATAAAAGTAGGAAACCAAATTCTAAATCAAGGACTTTATATACGAAAAATGGTATTAATATGATTATTTTTTTAATTTACTATTGGGTTATCGGTAACAAAAAAGTCCAAATTGTTATCAAAATCGCTAATAAACCAATAACCCAACACTCATAACCAATAAAAAAGTTTCAATTCGAGTTATTGATTCTGATTTGATTTTAAACCACCTTAGTTCTATTTAGGGGTGTTTGTGGTTCGGTTTGGATTGGTTATTGATTAAAATAAAAATCAAACCAATCTAATCGGTTTTTTAAATTCCTAAAACCAAACCAAATCAAACGAAAAAACAACCATCGGTTTGGTTATTGTCAGTTTGGTTCAATTTATTTGGTTTATTCGGTTTGAAAGTAATAATTTTTTTGAGGACGTACAAATTTTGATAGACACAAACACCAAGTACATGAACAATATAAAGAAAAGCTAATGTCAGTTCAGTCAAACAATTAAGTAATATTACACGAACAAAGTGATTCATTTAAGAGAAATATGACTATTTTATGTGAACTACGATGGATAAAAACAAATGAATTTTGATGGACTTGGATTTGAGATTGTTATACTTGGGCTAAAGTGTTAGGCTAGAGAAAATGGTAAAATTAAAGACTCAAGTTAATAAAAATTTAACAAAATATTTTTAATTTACTTATGAATAATATATAAATAATTCTAAAATTTATATATCTAATTTATCGGTTCGGTTTGATTATTTCTGCGGTTATTTTTTAGTAAAACCAAAACCAAACCATATAGTATCGATTTTCAAAATTAAAAAAAAAACACATCTAATCAAACTAAACCAAATATCAGTTTTTTTTATCGATTTGGTTCAGAATACGATTTGATTTGGTTGTTAACCATAACCAAGAACAACCCTAATTCTATTATAGCTTATCTCATTTTAATTTTCCAAATACTTTATTTATTTTTTCAGATGAAAAAGGTCGTAAGGGGTTACTTTCAAGAGGCAAAATGGTATTATGGAAAGAAAGTACCAACAATGGAGCAATATATGAAGAATGGAATTTCAACAAGTGCTTACATATTGCTAACAACTACTTCTTGGTTAGCAATGGGAAATGTAGCAACTAAAGATGCATTTGATTGGGTAGCAACTGAACCACCAATAGTTGTTGCTTCTTGTTACATTATAAGATTACTCAATGATCTTGTATCACATGAGGTAAATATGCATATATCTCAATTTATCTACTATTATTTACTTGACTAAAAAGACTTTTTTGAAACTTATACTCTCTTCGTTTCACAAAGAATGATACAGTTTGACTTGACACGAAGTTTAAAGAAGACTTTTGATCATGTGATTCTAAATTAAAGTCATGTCAAAGGAGTCATTCTTTTTTAAACGGAGGGAGCAGTATAAAATAAGTCATAGAAATTTGTGTAACTATAAATCATAAATCCTTCGACTCATTGTTAGAAATTCATGCATTTATTTGTCTCTAATTTTTCTTTTTAATTTATGTTAGGAAGAACAAAAACGAGGAAATGCGGCTTCTGCTGTTGAATGTTATATGAATGAATATAGCGTTACAAAGGAAGAAGCACACATAAAAATAAGAGATATAATAGAAAATTATTGGAAGGATTTGAATGAAGAATACTTTAAAGTAGATATGATTATTATACCAAGAGTTTTGCTCATGTGTATAATTAATCTTACAAGAGTGGCTGAGTTCATATATAAAGATGAAGATGCTTATACTTTCTCCAAAAATAACTTGAAAGATGTCATCTCTGATATACTAGTTGATCCTATTATATAGACCGATGACAACAAGAAAAAGAAGAATCATTTGTTCGGGGCTGGTGTTTTCGTTCAATAAAACTATGGGATTGTAATTACGTTGTATGTTATTAATAATAAAACAATACTCAAAGTTGAGTGACGACTTTCTGAGATAATAACTGTTAGTTGAGTGAGCGTGTCAAAGATCAACTCACTTTTCTCAAACAGTGTAATATCTTTACAGAAAAAGTATTTGGCAAAATTTGTGTATATAACTACTTGTAGTAAGTACCTTGAGAGCATTCTGGCTATAAACTTAACCATCCACTCTGCTTGATCTTTATCAGTTCACCAATAGTCTAAACACGAGCAAGAACCGTTTTTGAAATGGTGAAATCGATTCCTGTCTCTTGCAATGATCTCCCTGTTAAATATCTTCGATATCATCTTCGTGGCTTCATGACAATTGCCACACACTCTAAGGTTCTTAACAATTCTCAGAGTTGTCCCTGGCTTTGTGCTGATTAATCCAAAGGCAATCGCCAACTTCTCGCTATGCTGATTTAGTTTTTCTTCCTTCCACTCTTCATCCATTTCATAATGTACCTCAGATGTATCTGGAACATGGCCAGCCATTTCCAATAGCCTATCGACTTCATCCAACATCTTATAAATCTCGTTGCTTTGCTGATGTGTTCTATCACTAACAAGAAACTCGTGGACTACTCTATCAATCTCAATGGAGGTACAACCAGGAACTTTCGTCATTCCTTGATCATTTAAAAAAGTTCTTATCGATGCTACTTTGTCCCAATTTCCAGCACCGGCATAGATGTTGGATAAGAGTACATAAGCACCAGGATTCTCGGGTTCTAATTCAAACAAGTTCTTGGCAGCATATTCACCCAACTCGAGATTCTTGTGGATTCTACAAGAACCTAGCAAGGAACCCCATATTGCACCATCGGGTTTAATCTCCATGCTTTCGATCATGTTCATTGCTTCATCGAATTTTCCTGCTCGTCCTAGAAGGTCAATCATACATCCATAATGCTGCAACTTTGGTGTGTACTTGTAGCTTTGGATCATGGTAATAAAATATTCTCGACCAAGATCCACTAAACCAGCGTGATTGCAAGCTGATAAAACACTAACGAATGTTATATCATCTGGCTTCATTCCTTCCTCTGTCATTTTACGGAAAAGCTCCAGAGCTTCATATGCATCACCATGCATTGCTAGCCCTGAGATCATCACATTATACGAAGCTAAAGTTTTCGTTCTCATTCCCTGAAAGACTTGTTTTGCTGCTGCGATGGCTCCACATTTTGCATACATATTTATCAGACTAGTCCATAGAGAAGTGTTTTGTAAGTGTTGATAATGCTTGTCAATATAGACATGTATCCACTTACCAAGATCTAGAGCACCTAAATGTGCACAAGCTGGAAGGATGCTCAACAACGTAACATCATTGGGATCGATAACTTCTTGCTGCATTCGATGAAAAACAGCCAATGCATCTTTGTAATAGCCACAATGTGTATAACCCCCAATCATAACATTCCACGACACGAGGTCTTTCTCCTCTAGACCCTCGAATAACATCCTAGCCGTTTTCACATCACCACATTTCGAGTACATATCAATAAGTGCATTAACAAGACGAATATTCAAACCAAGTCGGTGATCTTCAATCCATGATCTCACCCAATTCCCCAATTTAAGTTCACCTACACGTGCACACGCAGATAGAACACTCAACAACGTGCTCACCGAAGGTACCACATTCACATTTCTCATCTCCTCAAACAACACCAACGCCTCCTCAAACCGTCCCACCTGAGCATACCCCGAAATCATCGCATTCCACGAAACAACATCTCTCACAGGCATTTCATCAAACAGTCCCCGAGCATCACCGACACGTCCCTTCAACGCATACCCATTAATCAACGCCGTAAACGACACAGCATCTCTGTTAGAACTTTTATCAAACACCAATCTTGCATCATCCATTTCACCATTTTGAGCATACATATTGATAAGTGAAGCATGTACATAAACATCAGTCATCAACCCAAGCTTAAAAACATGTCCATGAATCGTTTTCCCCATCTGGGTATCCATTATTTTCGCACAAGATTTAAAAAGAAACGGAAATGTATACGAATTCGGTTTATTACCCGAAAAAAGCAATTTTTCATAGAAATCAATAGCGAAACTGGGAGATGAACTCAATGAATATCCTCTAATTATCATGTTATACATAACGTGATTAGGGTCATCGGTAGAATTAAAGATTGATAAAGCATATGATAATTCTCCATATGGATTAGTGACACAAAATTCAAGTAATTTGCTTAGTGCAAATTGGGTATTGTGTAAACCAAATTTGATGAAATGGGTATGAACATTCTTGAAATCTTCCATGTTTTTGCATTTGGATAAGAGGGAAAAAGATGGATGAGTTTGAAGGAGTTTGTAAGGGGGATCTGAGTTTGGGAGAAAGTGGAGGATAGTGATAGGTAAAGAGAGTGTCATTGTTTTGTGTTCTAATTTGATAAGTGTACAAGATAATATGGGGATAAAGGTCCAATCTTTGAAATTTGGCCCCAAAAAATCTTACATGTTATAATGCTATTTGCAAATGGGACTTGAGGAGTTGATGTGGGGTCGGGTCGTGCCTGGATGGCGTACATCCTAGTGTAAGGTATGATACTTGAGTCTCACGTTGATTAAATTATGGGAGTTGATGTGGGGTTCGTGCCTTGGATGTTGCACAGCCTGCTATAAGGTTTAAGACTTGAGTTTCATATTGGTTAAGTTGTGGGAGTTGATGTGGGGTTCGTGCCTTGGATGTCGCATAGCCTACTATAAGGTTTGAGACTTGAGTTTCATATTGGTTAAGTTCTGGGAGTTGATGTGGGGTTCGTGCCTTGAATGACACACATCCTACTGTAAGGTATTGGACTTGAGTCTCTCCCAATGGTTTAATTGGGGAGCTGATGTGGGGTCGTGCCTTGGATGTCGCATAGCCTACTATAAGGTTTGAGATTTGAGTCTCACATTGGTTAGATTGGGGAGCTGATGTGAAGTCGTGCCTTGGATGGCGCATAGCCTACTACATGGTTTGAGACTTGAATCTCACATTGGTTAAATTGGCGAGTTGATGTGGGGTTACACCTTTGATGGCACACATCCTACTGCAACGTATGGGACTTGAGTCTCTTATTGGTTAAATGGGAAGCTGATATGGGGCTTATAAAGTCTCGGACTCTACCACTTCAATGATTGATTGTGGGGTGTGGTTCTTCTGGGATGTATCTTTCCCGGTGCAAATACCCTTCAGTATCCTGTCCTCACTAGGTGGGTGGGGGGTTCAAGAGCATGGAATCCTGTTACAGCTTAGATGGGAAGTTTGGGTTACATTCCAGCTGATATACGTCCTTTGGTGCAAATACATGTCAATGTTTTCATTAGTTTGATGTAAATATAAGGTGCGGATAATGATTTTCTCCCTTCACTGTCCTGCCCCACTATGTGGAGGTGTTTCAAGATCAATGAATCGTCAGCGTGACAGCTTATGGAGGCAGTTTTGGCTTCCATTTCAGCTGTTACACGTCCTTTGGTAACTAAGATCTAACCAAGGGATGATGAGGAGATATATCTTAAAAAATCAACAATTCCTTTTTGCAAATGAAATCCTAGAACAAAAGATACGAAGGTATCTTAATTCTCAGTTAAGAAAAATCGAAATTGAGATAAGCATAAAAAGTGCACAGGTGTAACAGACGATTCGGATGAAAAAAATGGATTTTTTTTTCTGAAGTATACAACCTATGCATGAACATTATGGGAGTTTGTTCAGTATGCTCAGAAAGAATATAGATGTAGGTGTCTTTAAGAATATATTCTTGTTTTGTCAAGCTGCAGCCTTTTGCAATTGGCTCAAAAGTAGTTCTGCTACACAATATTTGTTCTATTACAAAGTATTTGACTAAAATTTGTTATATTTTTCAGGTTCTGTATGGGAAGTGGAGGTATAACTAGCATTGGAACTGTCAAAAACATACTTAAACTATCGTTTTCTCCGTGAGTTTCACACCCCCAACAATTAGCTGTTCCTTTTCCTACTTGAACGAGGGTGATAGTTTAGGTAGGATAAGGGAACAACCGATTGTTGAGGTGTGTTTTAATACATAGATGGTGATAGTTCTGTTAGGGAAAGGGAACGAATAATAGTTGAGGTGTGAAACTCGTGAAGGAATGATAGTTCAGGTTCTATAGATCCTTGCTTATGAATCATCAAATGAAGTTTTCCGGTCCTAATTTGTTGAGCCAAAGGAACCATAAAACCTCTGCAAAAGGATTACTCTTATTGTGTTGTGGTGAAACATAAGCTGAACGGACATAGAGGAGATTCAAAATTTAAACGTAATGGGTTTAGCCTTTAAGGTTCTTAGCACCTAACTCATTATACTTCTGATATTATGGATTGTAGTGATTTTTCGCATATATATTTGTGCTCCTTGTCGAAAATATAAGGTCCAGATGATCCCTTTGTCCAAAGGCTGCATCTGCCTCTTTAGATGACAGAAGGGCATTCAGAGAGATATATTACTTGGCTTCTGATATAAATGAGGCAATAACTAACAGTTGAGATTAGATTGAGAATGTTCAAAAGAATAACTATATGGGAGTTGCTTGCCACTTATAACCATAATTGTGGAGCATCTGAGAGAAGTCAAAAGACAAAAGCCCGTGGCACCAGAGGTGGATGAAGTGTTTAGTCAAGCCATAATACAAAAACAGATACTGAAACTCGACCTCATCTGGCTAGTAAACACTCAAACTTTGAGTATGCACATTTAGACACCTTAACTCATCTCAACTGCGTCAGATGAAAACTCTAACTTACAAAATGATCATCTAGACACCACCAGAATCTTGAATCCGTCTCTACCAGACTTAACTTTAATATTCTTGCAGATGTGGCTACTTGATGCTGCATTGCTTGAAAGGTTCTCAGTGAGT